ATCGGTTGGGTTTAGGGGATGGGGTGGGTGGGTCAATCGATGCTTTTGAAAACACTGTCGGTTGAGTTTAGGGAAGGGGATGGGCAGGTCAATCAATGCTTTAAAAAAAAAACATTATCCGTTGGGTTAAGGGAAGGGAGTGGGCGCTGGTCAATCAATGCTTTTGAAAACACTTTCGGTTGGGTTTAGGGAAGGTGGTGAGCGGGTCAATCTGTGCCTTTGAAAACACTGTCGGTTTAGTTTAGGGAAGGGGTGGGCAGAGGAATCAATCGATCGGTCAGTCGACAGCGGCCTCTGGTGGATTTACACGATGAGAGGAGGTGCGATTGGCACTCGCGAGAGAAATTTGAGATATAATAAATTTGAGCCTCTGGTGGATTCGTGAAAACAAAAGCTGCAAAAAAAATAAAATAAATAAAAACGTAGCTCCTAGAACGTATTTGGTGCTCGTGATAAATGTATATAGGGGTATGTATCAATAATGAGCCTGGGTTTTTTAAATCACTGAAAGTATCCCCAACAGCACAGAGGGTTAAGCTCTGACTCAACACACAGAACAGACTTCATTTATTTATTTATTTTTTTAAATAGAGCACAGAGTTGCAATTACTTGTACTTGGCAAATATTTTAATGCAACAGCATGTGCTTTCTGTCAAGCGCTTGTTTTTTTTTTTTATCAATGAGTTTCTGCTAATGCGGTGCTTCGTTTATTCTGAGTTGCTATGGAGACATGGACAGATAATGTTCTCTATATAATATGTAAGTGGTAAAAGGTTTGAGTGAAACTTTAGTGGTGCCCACCCCTCTACTGCTTTACCCATAAAAACAACATATTTCTTATGAAACGTGTCACTATGACCAAAAACAAGATAATGTTCAAAACAGCTGCTTAATTAGAAAAGCCCACTGCCCGAGGGAGACAATTATTTATTCTTGTTGGCAACAAGCATGAGGAAGGATTGAGCTTATCGAGATGAGGTGAATTGTTATGAAATCAATCTAGTTATAATTAATGACAAATTTTTATTAACAGTTTAGAGTGTGTGTGTGTCTGTGCACGCAGAATTAAAAGAGACAATTAGGTAAATAATGGTTGTAAGGTGGATTCAGCTGTAACAAACAGTACCAATAATATTAGTGTCATATATTGCACTATATGACGAATCAACATTGTATTACTATCTGATACTGCCTTGCCTGAATTAACTAAAATGATCACCCTATACAACAAGATTTCAGTAATGTAATAACTAACATGAGCTAACAATGAACAACTTTATTACCATTAACTAACTTTAACAAAATTAATAAATACTGTAATAAATGTGTTGTTCCAACACAATCTCTCGGCAATTCGTAACTTTTTCATTTAGTTGCTAATTCGTACGAATTCGTACGATCTAATTCATACATTTTAGTACGGTTTGCTCATCCCCCAATGACGGTTGGGTTTAGGGGTGGGGTTAGGTGCCACGCCTCCTTTTTAAAATCGTACAATTCCGTACGACTGAACTCGTACAAATTCCGAATTCGCCACTAAACTGGCAGAACGTAAAATACTTATGTTTTCTTGTGAGATCAGGCTGGTTGTTCATGTTAGTAAAAACAGTAATTACTCAACGTGAAGTCTTACCGAAATAATAATAAAAACATAAGCTAATTCTGAAAAATATATGGTTGGATCTTTATTGCAGTGACCTTAACTAACGCAATTTTTAGCGTTTTATTTCTTATACAACCATGCTAAATAGTTGTATCGTCCTATCAGGCCCTTAGATGTTAAAACGGCATTAAATTGACATACAGTGACGTAAAAAGAACCATGCAAATCAATTTGATTTCAAAACATTGATGTCTATTTGACATCCACACATTGATGGCCTTTTGACCACCAACATAATGACGCAAAAAGTATTAGAAATGTTTTATTCATCTGAATGCTTAAATTCCAATTTTACACTGGATTTTGTACTTCTACAATGCATGTAAACTATCCTGATGTCAAACTGACATCTAAAGGCGTAAAAAAAAATTTGAAAAAGGATTACAGGAGAAGAGTGTTTCGATCTGTTTTGCCAATGTTAGATGTAAATGTAATTTTGTTTTGATATTAAGACCTCTAATCAAGTTTCATTTTTTCAGTTTTAATGTTTTTTTGATTACATTTTGGGATCAAAGTATCTACTGAGTTATGGTTCTATTTCAAGATGACAATGTCAAGATTGTTTAGAGGAATGCGCCATATTGGGGGGTGGGGGGGGGGGGTTGGTTTGCTTTTCTGCAATATAAAGTCAAACCTGAAATGATTCATATCCCTGGCGAATTCTGACTTGAAGTTACTTTTATTCAACCAGCAAGTTTTTTACCCAGAATGCATTGCATTGTAATGACATTCCCCCCCAAGAAAAAAATAAACAAATTCATGAAAAAAATTAACTGAAGATAAAAATTAACATCTCAGATGACAAGAAGGTTAGTAAGTTATCATGAAATTTCAATTCCAGGAATGAACTCATCATTTAAAGTGTCCAGGCAGAAGTATGTCCTACTTTTGGTCAGAAAAAAAGTTAATATTTTGCAGGATTTCTCTCTCTTTTGGTTTCTAAGTTATCTTATATAGGTACACAAATACAAGCAATGTGTTTAAAATCTCATGTTTAAAATCATGTTTTCCCGTTTTATTCTTGTTTTTCTAACCGAATAAAGAAATTAACATCTTGGATGACAAGGGGGTGAGTTAATTATCATGAAACGTCCATTTTGGGAATGAACTAATCCTTTAAACAGTCCAGGCAGTGTTTATAAAGTAACTTACTTTTTGTCGAGAAAGAATACTGTCCTGCCGGTTCTGTCTTCCCCTTTAGTTTTTTAAGTTATCTTATTTACACAAAAACATACAATATGTATACAATCTCACCAATATAATGCTTTTTTCAATTATCTAACTGTTTTGTTTTTTTGTTTTTGTTGGTTTTGTTTTGCTGAATAAAGAAATACACATTTTGGAAAACACTTAGGTGAGTAAATTATTGTGAAATGTCCATCATTCTGGGAGTCAACTAATCCTTTAATCTGTCCAGGCAGTGTTAGGGAAAACAAGGTTAGGCCATATCTTGCACATTTTCTTTCCCTTTTTGTTTTCAAAGTTATATTATTTAGACAAAAAATGTTAGAAACCTCAGTGAATATAATAATTTGCCCTGTTAACTTTTTTCTAACTGAATAAAGCAGTTATAATCTTGGATGACAATGGGGTTAGTAAAGTATTATGAAACGTCCATTTTGGGAGCGAACTAATCCTTTAAACTGTCCGGGCAGTGTTTATAAATTAGCCTAGTTTTTTTCAGGAAAAGAAAAAATACTATCCTGGAGCTTTTCTCTCCCTTTTGGTAAACCAAGTTAACCTGTTTACACAAAGACACACAATATGTTTAAAATCTCACCAATATAATAGTTATTTTTTGTCTAATAACATCTAGTTTTTACTGAATAAAAAAAGTAACATGGTTGATAACACAGAGGTGAGTAAATTATCGTTAAAATGTCCATTTTGGAAGTCAACTCTTTAAATAGTCGAGGCAGTGTTAATGAAGTAGCTTACTTTTTGTCAGGGAAAAATACTGTCCTGCTGGTTTTGTCTTCTGTTTTTGTTTCTAAGTTATCTTATTTACACAAAAACATACAAAGTTTCTAAAATATCACTAAATATAAGGCTTTTTTCAATTATCTATTATCAGTTTTTTTTTACAGAAAAAAGAAAGGTGAGTGAATTAGGCTACTGTGAAATGTCCATCATTCCAGCAGTCAACTAATCTTTTAAACCAGTGTTTCTCAACTGGTGGGTTGCGACCCAAAAGTGGGTCACGGGAACATTTTCAGTGGGTCGTAGAGTGTGTGGTCAAAAAACAACAACAAATGTTTAATTTTTAACTTATTTTGCTTATATAAGACTATTATTTTGAAATGCGCGAGCGTCAACTGTACCGTTTGACATGTGAAATTTCATTTATAGCAACAAATATGTCGAAGCGCAAGTACGACCCCGAATATGTAAAGTATGGATTTACATATATTGATGACAAAAAAAAAGGCTTAAAACCTCAGTGTGTCATATGTAGTGATGTGCTCTCACAAAAGCACTTTTAGAAACCAAACATTTGTCATTTTTACTTTGTAATATTTTTATAATTTGAGACATTTTGTTAAATGACAATTATGAAATATTGTTTATTTGTAAGTCTTAATGATTTTCTTATGATTTTCCTGTCACTACTTGTGTATGTTAACAAATAAATACAATTAATTATATTAATTATAATTCCTAAAATTATATTACAGTTCTGAAAATTTTGGGTCGCGGGTTGATGACCATGTAAAAATGTGGGTCCCATAGCCAAACCAGTTGTGAACCACAGCTTTAAAATACAGGCAGTGTTGTCAGGGCAAAAAGGTTATGTCTTGCACGTTTTCTTTCCCTTTTTTGTTTTCAAAGTTATGTTATTTACACAATTTAAAATCTCACCGAATATAATCTGTTATCTTGTTTTTTACTGAATGAAGAAATTAACATCTTGGATCCCTGCAGAAAAATCCAGCTTAAACTAGCCTAAGCTGGTTAGCTGGTTTTAGCTGGTCGACCAGGCTGGTTTTAG